ATTCCCACGATTAAACTTAAAATTTATATTTCCTATCGGTTTTCTGATATTTATCCGATATTATTCCGGTTATGCAATTGCCGATATGACTTCATTCGACCTGTATTACTATTTATATTCTTTGCTTGAACATGATCTCCTAGATATGCCGGCTTACAATATTCAGTCTAAATTTTAATTTCTTGCTATTATTTATAATTGTGAGTTCACAAGTTTCTCAATCCAATTTTGGTTTTACTTTCTTTATTCAGTTATTGCCAACAATAGCAGTATAATTTTCTGTATCTGTGATAATAGCATTCAAAGTGATGGTTATGGAAGGGCCAAAAAACATGTGTTTTTTATTTTGACAAAATTACTCTCTTCCCTAGGTTTCTTATCTTCTAGATTTTTCTGTATAGATATGTTTTTTGAAAAGACCCCTTCTCCCAAAAAAAACACATATTTTCTGGCCCTCCCCTTACTCTATCTACTGTTATTGATAACTAATCAACTTCACCTAAAAGTTATTTTTGCTTACCATATATAGTCTGGTGTTTTTCCAAATTTGGCATTACTGAATATAGATATGATCTACAATGATCAACATCATACAATTTTCTAGAACTTATTCATGAAATTAAATTTGATTGGCTATCAAATTTCATATATATAGTAGATTATCAGACGGCAAAAAAAGTACTTTTAGAATGCTGTGCGTGCTTATTAATATACAGTACTGCAGTAAAAACTCTATAAGTGTACACTCTCGGGGCCAAGTTTTAGCAACATGCACTTAGAGATCAACAAGAGAAAGTGCATTTATAGAGACATGTATATATTTGGAACAGAACTTGAGTGTGCATTTTAGAGAGGATGTGCACTTATAGTTGTATAGAGGATGCACTTATAAAGGTTTTACTGTAGAACTTTTATACGCAGGATCAAGAAGCTGGATTAAGAAATACTGTGTGCACCTTCACTGCGTGTATTCAGAAATATCAACTATACAACATCAAATAAGTATAACATACCATTTTTTTTTCTTTTTTGTAGCTTTATTTATTTTATATTTGAAAAGGCTATTTATTTATGACTACTTAAATAACCACCTTTTTTTTAATTTTCAGAGTATTTTTTAGCTACTTTTTTATGTTGTCTCTTTGGCCGCATCAACATCAGTTGCATTATGAAGATCTCGAACTTGTTGCAAAATTAGTAATAATTCTTCCTTTCTTTTTGACCTTAATCCCCTAAATTGTGGTCATTTGGCTTTATTTAGGGATTCGACTAATGTTTCGATCACGAATACTACTTCTTCTTACTTCAATATACTTTCGGATGATTGTAATTGTGCTTCATCATAAGTAACAGAAAGGATTGGGTAGGTTTAGAACTAATTAAGCCAAGCTTTCCTTTAATATATTTTATACGTTGAGCTTGGGCTTTATCGCTGAAGGATTTCATTTGTACACTTAATTTATTATTCCTATCTA